ATCCAGCTACCAGGTCCGGAGGGGTTTCTTCACAATCTCCCTACTCGGGCCAGAGGGCCATTTCTCCCTTGCTTTGATCCTAGGGCCCATCTTGTCTATTCTGTCCCCCCAAATTTTTCCCTTCTCCAGGGATCATGGAAGGAGCTCAGAGGGCAGAGGGTATCAAGGATCCCAGACCCTGACAGGGTCTTCAACAGGTCTTACTAAAGCTATAGTGCTAGATAAGTGTGTCTGGGGCTCTTGAGGCATGAGAGAGGATTTTCCTTCTCTCTGTGGAACTAGACATGTTATTTCTTCTCCCCAGGCCTCTTTTTTTTTTTTTGCTCCCATGAAAAATGGAGCTAATGCCCTTGCTTCTCTACCTGGAATATGCTGGTAAATTTTCACCAAATATCAACTATCAAAAAGGGGAAGGAAGATTCTGATTTGGATTTGCTTTATTTTGGTTTGGCTTTTGTTTTTCGTTTTTGTTTCTGTTTTTATACATGCTCTCACTATTCAGCCCTGGCTGTCCTGGAACTCCTTATGTAGGCCAGGCTGGCCTCGAATTCACAGAGATCCATTGCCTCCCCAGTGATGGGCTTAAAGGCATGTGCCAGCACACTGGGCAGCATTCTGACTTACAACGTTGGCAATTTTGTATGGGCAGCTGTGTGGTCATGGCCAATTTGTCCCTATTTTGCTGGATGCAGAATTGGAAGAGATGGATTTAGTTTACGCCCCCAAGTCCTGGCTTCAGGGTGCTCTGCTCACTATCATTGGGGACAGAAGGAGGAAGTGACGGCGTGATCATGAAATCAGGCAATATTGAACTTGCAAGTGCTCCAGTGATGCGGGTCCAGGAGGATTATGGTCTTATGGTAGAAGGGAACTTGGGCCGTGTCTCCATAGTCTCCAGCCCATGAAGGAGACACATGGTGGGCAGAAGTTGGTTCTAAGTGTTGGTGATAAGTGCTCTGGATCAACTCCAGGGAGTCTGGATTTGGGAGAGGGGGAGACAGGAAAGGAGAGGAGAAGTCAGTGTGCTGACATCCCATTGTGTGTAGGATCAAGGTTTGACAGCAACAAAAGAAAAGATTCCTTCTGGGTTCACACCCACTACCAGGACTCTGGGCCACCATGGATGCCTCCTGGGGGTTCCAAAGCAGCAGGAACACGCTGTCCATTCCATCCCAGGCCATTGGAGTTTCTGTAGCTACTGGCTCTACTGCAGGAGAGTGATCAAAATGACCTCAGAGGCCAGAGTCAGGAGGAAGTTCAGTCTCTTGTCAGTGGAGGAAGATGATGTCAGGGAGGCGAGGGTAGGAGGCAGGAAAGAGCAAGAAAAAGGAGTTCCCTCCTCCACACCAGAGCTCATGCCTTAAATTAACTCTGTCCCACTGCTAATTATTAATAATAGCTATCATTTATTGAGTATGTACTGTGTGTTAAGCTATTTACAAGCAATATTTCATCCAGTCCTCCAAAGAGGTATGTATTATAAGTTCTATTTTACAGAGGAGGAAACTGAGGCCCAGGGAAGGAAGTTAAACAACCTGTCCAACCAAATTCCCACCCTGACTGGGATTCAGACCCAGACCTGACTGCAGGTCACCAGCTTCAAGAACATTACCACTGCTCCAGGGAGGGGCTGGGGTGAGGATGCTTCTCTCTCTCTCTCTCTCTCTCTCTCTCTCTCTCTCTCTCTCTCTCTGTGCTGAAAAGACCCTTCCCAACTAGAGGCCCTTTGTCCAGCAGGTAACCCCTTTAGGATGGCTGAGGGCTCATCTTTCCCAGGCAGTGTGGCCTTAGAAGTCAGTTAATTTTCTTAAGGGAGTCATAGAACAAGGCCTCAGCTCTGGGCACCGTAGTCACTGAGCTGGAAGTCAGTACTTACAAACCCAGAAGAATGCCCGAGTGAGGACCACTCTGGGACATCTGCATCCTCAATACAGATTAAGGGGCATGCCTCTGAATTCTGCAGAGACAAGCTCATCAGAAAAGGGGTGGTGGTTTGCAGAGCCAGTGTGTGTGCGTGTGTGTGTGTGTGTGTGTGTGTGTGTGTGTGTGTGTGTGTGTGT